GCATAGACAACAGGTCTGCTATTGTGTGAGAACAAATTTTTTAACAGCTATTAAGTTATCATTGACACTTTCTCCTCTATTTATTTCACTACCAATAGCAACCTCCCCAAAAAATCTAGGGTTGTTTTTGCTAACGTAGTCTCTCCCTCTCCCCTCCCCACTTCTTCATCATAGAGTACAGGGCTCTTGTGTAGTGTGGGCATGAACTATCCATATTGACAGTTCACTGAAACCTGACAATGTTACAGTAGGGATTTGTGCAATGCATTCCCTAACAGCTGTAAAAATACAAGAGCAGTGCAGTTCAAGTGCAACACCTGTGCAAAAAGTGTAACACTAGTGCAAATTACAAGAAAGACTACTGACAATCATTTGAGGTGTGTCAAAGGTGGTCGAAGTTCGCCGGAAGCCTTCTGAAGTGAGCTGAAGATAATTACACATTTTCCGAACACCTCCGAAGATTACCGGAACCGTTTTGAAGGCTTTTGAATATCACCAGAACCTTTTTAAACACTTCCGACAGTCATCCAAACCCTTCCCAAAGATCTGCGAAGAGTGACAAAGATCATCTGAAGATTGGCAACATTATTGGAAATTTTGCAAATATTTTTGGAAAGTTTTGAAGATATTTTGAAAACTAAGCACACTGCAGCCTGCCTAATGAAATAATTAATGTGTTCATAAAGACCTTAAATAGTATATTTTCAAGTGTAACATTATTAAGTAATCACATTACTATTCTCGTGCAATGTGGATTAAATTATAAGCACTAGTATATTTTTTACACTACAAATTGCACTTGTCCTACAGGCTCGTGCATTTTTGTTGGCCTTACAAAATTTACTTGTGCTTATTTATTCCAAATTGCACTTGAAATCATGCGATTACTGTAGCTACGGTGCAGCTCAGATATAGGCGAACCAAAATATACGCATAATCCGCGTCAGCCAAAAACGCGTTTACGCGTATGCATATACCCACATACTCGTATACAGTATACGCGCGTATGCCTCATTAGTATGTATGAGCTAACTGTTTCTTCTTTTCGTAATTGTCATTGTTGTTTTCAATGGCTTGAAAGCTTGCCACAGAGCGAGAGAAAGAATTTTCTTTGGTTTGAATATTTTCTACGCGTATAGAGTATAGGCGCGTACTTAACTGAAACAAACATTTTGCAATCTGTGCAGTTGGTCACTCTATTAAAAGAGACAGTATTTAACCATTGAATAGACAATTTACAATTTACTGGTTTCTGCCAAATACGCAAAATACGCACGTATAATACGCGTATGCGTAGTTCGCTTATATCTGAGCCGCACTGTATGCTAATGTTTTCGACGGTTTGCAGGGCAGTAGCCAGAAAAAATTATGACTGAGGCAATGTCCACGGTTAATTTCCTCTTCCTATAAAGATGTTTCCACGCGTCCTTGGGTTCTGTAACTTAGCTTTTATTACCTACAATAGTAAAACAAACTTTGAACAAAACTGGAACAAGA